GTTCATTTTAAATATTTTGGTACGCAACGAAAATTTCGTTGGACACAATATTAATTTTACGATGTTTATTTTGTGACTTTTTTTTACTAGATAACTAGTAACTCTAGTAAACAACTACTTTCTTTTCGTTAAGGTATGACATTTAGGAAACGGAGCAATATGTAGTTACAAACAACCGTATGTTTATCCCTCATTTTTGTGTAGATTTACTGACGTAACATACTGCTTGCTGCTGTAATAAATCGGATACGGTCGATGATTTTAAATAGCAAGTAAACTGCAGTATCGAAAAATTAATGCGTTTTCGTTTTTTTCCACTTTCCCCATTTTCCTTACTTCTACTGTAGAATTAAATAAGGAAATCTTACCTTTTCTGTACATCTAAAAACCAGCCTTGAAATATCAGTGCATCCCCAAAACAAAGAGAAACTCCTTAGAATGAATTAAGAAGTTCTTTATTTCAGAGCGTTTTTCATGAAATGAGTGACCGAGTGTTTTGTGAGAGAAACGCTTGTTTAAGGAGTCATAAAATGTTTGCTCGGTGTCAGGGGGTTAGAGAACTATTGGTATTGCCCTATGTGCATATTTTATTGTTTTATACCCTCTCACCTCGCTATTTATTCGCCGTTTGACTGGTGTTTGCCGTCAACAAACAGAGCTGACCTGCCATAAAACCCACATGTTTTATTCCAGTGGCTGCTTCAGCTTGCTTTAACCTTTGTTGAGATCTGTCGCGGTCGCATTTACTTGCTGGCCTGTACGCGCTTTGTATGTTAGTTCATGTGTGGCGTGAATAGATGTTGTATAGTTGTATAAGTCAATTAATGAACTAACTAATTAGCCTGTAATTGTATGTTTTATTAATTTCCAACGACAATCTATTTTTTCCTTTCGGATTTTAAACCTTCTGACAGAAAATTAGCACACCAAGACGACAAAGGTGTGTGCTTCGACCGTTCAGTATATATTGAAGAGACGAAGATTTTGAGTTCGAGGGTAGGAAAATTCCATTTTCCGCTATGAGGTTGTCTGTTTAGTTTCTATGTAGAGGGAGAAATGTACAAGAAAAACTCCAGTGTTTACCACAAACCATTAACAAAGTTTATAAAGGAAGCACCGATCCATTAAGTGGCGAGACAGATTGCTAATATCCTTGGAGGCAGACTGTTCCAGGTGCAACACTTGACACTGGGAAGGCACTGTCAAGGTGAGCCAACAGGCTCTCTCAATACCTGTCAAGAAGATACCTGTCATCTATATATACCCTGTAGATCCGGATTTGTGTAAACAGACGCACAGTCACAAATTCGTATCTAGGGGAGTATGTAGTTGATGTATAGGCTACATTTCAACTTCAACGGGCAAAGAAGATGACACAATAACTTTCGGTTTGATTTTAATGACTGTTTGGTAGTAGAATATTGTAGCAAGAACGAAAGTTTTTCCCCTAACAACTATTTTTGTTCTGTAAATTGTGGTGTAGAACTGAATCAGAGTAAAAAAAGTAAGTAAAGAAAAAGGCGCTTCATTTGCATATCGCGGCGCTCTCTTTTGCAGGTGTTTGCTTGGGCAGACCACGTGCTCTCGCACACTGTGGCGAGAGTACGGGTCCCCCCTCCTATCATAACGGAGTTATGACTTTATATTCGAGCCCCACGGAGTTGCACTGTTGCGAGTGTGGGCTTTATATCGTGAATATTTACCTTGGCTATAGTCTCTGAGCCGCGGCTTTGAATGCCTGTCGGTGTACACATTAACCCCATAATCAGGCAGATGGCTCGAGGTCCCCATGGCTTTTAGAAAGAGATGGCTCACGGGGGTGAAGGCGAGGTCGGGGACTTCAGGGGGTGAAAGGGTTAGAGTGGACACCAAGGCTGAACTTTCTCCTTTGCTGTTACATTTGCATCGATAAAATGTGAAATAAGGTGTATAGGTTACATGCGAAGTAAAAGCTGAGCCATCTAAACATTAAATTATTAGCCGTTTTCATGTTTTCAATTCGGACATGGATGCTAACGTGCTTCAGTGCGAGAAGGTCGGCACGATTATTACCGAGCAGAAATCGAAATGAATAGAGAGAGAGAGAAGAAAAGAGTCAGACAAGTTGAAAAAAAAGACTGAAAATGGCAGAGGCCCATTTGAAAAATTGCCAGAGCTTTGACTGCCAAACGCTAGGGGTGCTACAGATTTCTTTGATATGATAAAACATTTTTATACACGTTCAAACTGCTCAGTGAATGAAAAAAGATTTCGTTTGAGAATATTTCGATACTATTCGATATTATATTGATACAAGTATTAATACATTTCATTCGTGTATACTCTGGAGTCACTTTATAATCTTTAGTACATTTCTTTGCCTGTGCCGCAGAAGAACAAAGGCTCTCCAGAAACCCTCCAGATTTAAATTTGTAAACTCTCTCTCTCTCTCTCTCTCTCTCTATATATATATTATTCCAATATCATTACAACATTTTGACATTTACTGAATCCTTATTTTAAATGTACATACCATGTAAAAATCGAAAATATTCATTTCAATTGTTGGCTGTTTGGCATTGTTTTAGTGCTTGATGGAAAATTATAGCGAATATTACGATGTATTGTGAAATGGTGCTTGTTCATTTTAAATATTTTGGTACGCAACGAAAATTTCGTTGGACACAATATTAATTTTACGATGTTTATTTTGTGACTTTTTTTTACTAGATAACTAGTAACTCTAGTAAACAACTACTTTCTTTTCGTTAAGGTATGACATTTAGGAAACGGAGCAATATGTAGTTACAAACAACTGTATGTTTATCCCTCATTTTTGTGTAGATTTACTGACGTAACATACTGCTTGCTGCTGTAATAAATCGGATACGGTCGATGATTTTAAATAGCAAGTAAACTGCAGTATCGAAAAATTAATGCGTTTTCGTTTTTTTCCACTTTCCCCATTTTCCTTACTTCTACTGTAGAATTAAATAAGGAAATCTTACCTTTTCTGTACATCTAAAAACCAGCCTTGAAATATCAGTGCATCCCCAAAACAAAGAGAAACTCCTTAGAATGAATTAAGAAGTTCTTTATTTCAGAGCGTTTTTCATGAAATGAGTGACCGAGTGTTTTGTGAGAGAAACGCTTGTTTAAGGAGTCATAAAATGTTTGCTCGGTGTCAGGGGGTTAGAGAACTATTGGTATTGCCCTATGTGCATATTTTATTGTTTTATACCCTCTCACCTCGCTATTTATTCGCCGTTTGACTGGTGTTTGCCGTCAACAAACAGAGCTGACCTGCCATAAAACCCACATGTTTTATTCCAGTGGCTGCTTCAGCTTGCTTTAACCTTTGTTGAGATCTGTCGCGGTCGCATTTACTTGCTGGCCTGTACGCGCTTTGTATGTTAGTTCATGTGTGGCGTGAATAGATGTTGTATAGTTGTATAAGTCAATTAATGAACTAACTAATTAGCCTGTAATTGTATGTTTTATTAATTTCCAACGACAATCTATTTTTTCCTTTCGGATTTTAAACCTTCTGACAGAAAATTAGCACACCAAGACGACAAAGGTGTGTGCTTCGACCGTTCAGTATATATTGAAGAGACGAAGAGTTTGAGTTCGAGGGTAGGAAAATTCCATTTTCCGCTATGAGGTTGTCTGTTTAGTTTCTATGTAGAGGGAGAAATGTACAAGAAAAACTCCAGTGTTTACCACAAACCATTAACAAAGTTTATAAAGGAAGCACCGATCCATTAAGTGGCGAGACAGATTGCTAATATCCTTGGAGGCAGACTGTTCCAGGTGCAACACTTGACACTGGGAAGGCACTGTCAAGGTGAGCCAACAGGCTCTCTCAATACCTGTCAAGAAGATACCTGTCATCTATATATACCCTGTAGATCCGGATTTGTGTAAACAGACGCACAGTCACAAATTCGTATCTAGGGGAGTATGTAGTTGATGTATAGGCTACATTTCAACTTCAACGGGCAAAGAAGATGACACAATAACTTTCGGTTTGATTTTAATGACTGTTTGGTAGTAGAATATTGTAGCAAGAACGAAAGTTTTTCCCCTAACAACTATTTTTGTTCTGTAAATTGTGGTGTAGAACTGAAGTGCGCTCATGATGTCACACATATTTTGTGAGACTTTTAAAGAATTCAAAATTAGAAAAAGAATTCGAAATGAGCAAAAAAATAATTTGTACAGTTTTGCACTGATTAATGATTATCTGAATGCGGTGATTTTTAAACATTATTATCAGTAAACAGCGAGAAATATTTGCTGCTGGTGTTAATAGTGAATTGAGCACATATATTACTATTCAGTGTGTGTAGATTTGGCATACAGGATAAACGCGCTGTTTGGAGTGGAATGACTGCAGACACCGTTTAAATGCAGAAGGTCTCCTTTGTGATTTAGGAGGCTTTGTAACCTGAATTAGTTGATGAATTTTCTATCGATCTTAAACAAGCCCAGATTCATCTCTGACACGCTGCTCACGCCACGACCATTCTCTCGCCGTTATTAGCGAGTGCATTTAAGAGCTTGGCCAAGGCGAGCTTCTTGCATCACTTTCCCCTGGTACCGCTTTTCATGAACACTGGCCAAAATTAAGCAGGATTTCTGTTCGCCAAATCTGAAACAGCGCTTTAGAGGGTTGTAGTCATGTTCTCAATGTGCAGATGAACTGAGAGGGACTGGGGGGCGTGACTTTCTGTGGGGCTGCTAGAATCCAGCATGCCTTTTCGCCGTGTCTGCTTTCGCTTGCTATTGTTTTGATTTACTCACTATCTCATCCAGCGCATAGCAACGTATGAGAAAGTATGGAATTTTGGACTATTCCGAAATGCGAGTTGATGAGCACGGTCTAAACTGACTAATCCCATTTCCTTATCCGGGAATCGCGAAGATCCACGCCATTGGCTGACGATGTCACATGGACCCTTAACTTTGTTCACTTGACAGAAAGTAGGAGGGTTCTACGAAACAGGAAAACGAGTAAAGGGATACATATAAATTTTAGTATATTTTGTGTGCAATTCAAAGAAATTAATGGCCATGAGTTCCTATTTGATCAACTCCAACTATGTGGACCCCAAGTTTCCACCCTGCGAGGAATATTCCCAGAGCGACTACCTACCCAGTCACTCTCCGGACTACTACAGCGCCCAGAGGCAAGACCCCTCGTTCCAGCATGAGTCGATCTACCACCAGCGGTCGGGCTGCGCCGACCCACCCTACTCATCGTGCCAGGGTCCGGGGCAGCCTGCCGCGGTCATCTCTCCGCGAAGTCACGTTCTACCCACAACCGCACTCTCGACCCCTCTTCCTGAACCAAGCCATCACTGCGACTCGGTAACTCCGAGCCCTCCGCCTGCCTGCGGTCAGACTCCCACTAGCCAAAACACTTCAACGGTCACTTCAAGAAAAGATCCCGTGGTATACCCCTGGATGAAAAAAGTCCACGTAAACATCGGTAAGTGCAGCTAAACTTCTCTTACTAGTGTTTCCGTGCGCAGACAGCTCAGCCACTTTAGAAAGCCTAATGTCCGGCGTTAAATCTATTGCTCCCCTTATGAAGTTGCCCTTGGTCGAGATTTACGATCGTCTGTTTGCAGGGCAATATAATTACACCCTCCATAAATTTTTATTGCACTCCTTCTTTAAGCTCTTTCGGGGGCTATGCAACTTTCTCGTTCTAATTTCTTCCCGAGAAGAGGTTTATGAGTTCTCATGTAATCCATAAATTAAGTTTTATGTTTTAGTAATTTGATTTTAAGTGACTGGACGGATCAATGTGTTCTTTACACTGTCACTTAACTATCGTTAATAAAAAAAGTTTTATAGGAGCAAAAAAATTAATAGTTATGAGGACGACAATAAAACATTAATGGCAATACAAACAGTTGGACTCTTTTATAAACTATTATTCCGCGATAATTAGTGCGTGTATCCATAGAGCTGCCGTGGTGTGCGCTGAAAAGAGGGCAAACTCCGTGTTTGGAAAATCACGGCTTAACATTAGTCGCCCATAGCCAACTATAGATTATGCTGTTCCCTCGTAGTGAATTCATACCTCGTAGTATGAATTCTTATGCAAAAATATAATATCCCTATTGTTTTATCTTGTGCTGCAATTACTGACTTATTCTGAGCAATAAAGTCTGGAAATTAGTGTCACTGTCCCGACAATATACCATTGCTTATCATAGACAATGGCCACTTTTTTGTTTTGTTTGCCATTTTTGCATAACCGAACCTTTAAACAGTCACATTGTATACTTGCAAATACGAGATAGACGGATGTATTTTTTTCATGTTTAAATACATTTATTACATTATAGGCTATTATTATAGTGTTTGTGCATCTGATTGTTCATGAACTGGAGTGTACATATCTACGTACGTGTGTGTGTGTGTGTGGCTGTGTGTGATTGTGTTATATTTTTTGTAACGTGTCGCTCTCTGTATCCAAACAGTGAACCCGAACTACTCAGGGGGTGAACCCAAGCGCTCACGCACAGCCTACACGCGGCAGCAAGTCTTGGAATTGGAGAAAGAGTTCCATTACAACCGCTATCTGACTCGCAGACGGAGGGTGGAGATTGCCCATACACTATGCCTATCCGAACGACAGATTAAGATTTGGTTTCAGAACCGTCGCATGAAGTGGAAGAAGGACCATAAGCTTCCCAACACCAAAATACGCAGCAGCTCTGCCAACACTAATTCAAGCAGCGGCCCTACACTGGGAAGCAATCAGAACCGAGCAAGCGGACCTCCGCCAAGTCTATAGCCCTCCACTGTTGCCCAAAACACGTACAATGATCAAATCTAATTTTCTGGAGTGTAGAACGTGGATTTTACCCGCGTTGTGTCTCCCAACTCTCCCCTGCACTCTAATTACAGGGATAAAATAGGAGGAAGATGTGGGGGAAAGGAGCAAAGAAATTGTTCATCTTTTTAACACTAAAAATGGGTGAAGACTCGAACTCAAATGCTACTATATATGGGTTGCCTTCCCAGTCTGGTTCCCATTTTCGCCTCTCCTGCTCACTCGCCCCTTCCATAAGCACAGAAAGGCGGCAGATAGCTTTCAGATTTGGTGAAGATGGATCCGTGTTTCATCTTTAATCACGCCAAACTCGGCCCCATTTGTCATGTTTACTCTGTGGTACAAAGGATGAACCGTAGGCCTGCCCATTACCTCGACGTCTAGCGTTGTGCTTAATAAATGAGTCGCTCTGTTTTGTCGAGAAGCCTTTTCGAACTCCCTTTATTCCCCTGGCTTAAAAATAACTAGCCGAGTGTTTTTCAGCTGATATGAAGTTTTGTATTTTGTAGCAATTAGGTTATTTTGCATTTGCTATTTGCATTTCGAATGCAATGCCAATGGGACTGAGGGTTTATTGTGCGTGTGGTCCATTTGTCGCTCATTAAAAATACAGGGACTTGTTTCACTCGCCTGTTTAGCGCATTTCAGTTTAAGAACAGCAAATTACTAATTAGTTAGTATTAGTATTAAATATAATATAAAAGTTCAATGAAGCTGGACGGCTAGATATGCATAACCAAAACCGGTACAACGCAAAGCATTTTAATGAGAGCACTGCTAAGTACTATTTGAATTACCTCAATTGTATTTTTTATTTTTCTTTTATTTGCAGCACTTTTAGTGTTTTGAGTTTTATTGCTTTATGGCCTTCTCGCAGTTGGGTAGCAGAGGCACATTTGTCGTGTTGCGCCACGGATGGGTTTTATGGCTGCTTTGACAGTAAGGGTAGCTTTTGGGAACCGGTTGTCGTGTGTTTGTGATAACTTCTAGGTGTGTGCCATCACAACTAAAGTGGTAGCATGTTTTCCTTTTCGTCTTGGAGTAACGCATCTGTACCATTGTTACATGGTGTATTTGTGGGTGTTGGTGCTGAAATAGTATGGAGTGCAAAAAAAAAAGAAAAAAAAGCGAGCGTCTGTTTGTCCATTCGTGTGCGCGTGAACGCGCATGTGTGTCTTATATCAACACTGTGAATATGCATGAGTTGCAATGTGCCACATACACATGCAATATGTAAGACACCTAAGTCTCCCAGATGCGAATATGACATGCTGCCCTGATGACTGTTGTTAATGACACTTTATTTCTTTTGCATATCACGTGTGTATGTCTTTCCCCACCCTAAAACGCCTTTTTATTCCATCAGAGAGCTTGGGTGGCACACAGGTGCAAAGTGGCCGGTTTCGAGAATAAATTATTCGATGCTCTGTTGGTCAGACAGGAATGAAAAGCACCGAAGAGAATGTCTCGAGAGCAACTATTTGCCTAAAACAAACGACTTGTAGCAAATTGCTTCAGTTACATGTGTGCTTAGATGAGCACCAGTGCTCTGCTGAGGGCTCACCGCCATTTAACCCCTGCAAATCAATCTTTTGTTCGTATTGGACATTTCAGTTTAAGAACAGCAAATTACTAATTAGTTAGTATTAGTATTAAATATAATATAAAAGTTCAATGAAGCTGGACGGCTAGATATGCATAACCAAAACCGGTACAACGCAAAGCATTTTAATGAGAGCACTGCTAAGTACTATTTGAATTACCTCAATTGTATTTTTTATTTTTTATTTTTTGGTCTAGTTTTATGAAGTGATAAGTTTAAGTTCTTTGGACTTAATGGCAAATATCTGCAATAGCTAATCTCAGCATTTGTACGTTGAAATGAAATTTAAGTTAAATGTGGCCAGGGTGTATAGAGAAAGGTGCGTATATTGCATGAGTAAATACACTATATTTTAGTTTATTCTTTATTATGTCATTACCACCCTCGTTTTGTTTTATGGTACATAGACATGTGCACATACATTTCACTTTCTTTCTTTCTTTCTTTCTTTTTTCTCAATTTAATTAATTTTATTTTATTATTATTATTATTATTATTATATTATTATTTTTACATTCCAAAGATCAGTTTTCTCGCTGATGAATTGTAAATTTCTCCTCTTACATGTTTGTATTTTGTCTTCTTTCTGCTTGTACCTTTCACTGTTTACCTTTGTTACATGTAAATAGCTCTAGAAATTTAATAAATGGTGGAAAAGTATAATCTTTCTTCATGTGTCATGTCTTCTTGTGGATTTTAAAGCTAGATATGCTTATTTTAAATACATATTTCTAATAGGTGGATATCATCGTCCTCTGTTTTGCTAAAAACACAATTTAATTGAATTTGGCTTGCCACTGCGCATTTTCGTTAGCCTTGTAGCACTGGCCTGTCTTGAAGATCACTGCATATATCTCTCTAGTGATTTATATCGCTGCATTGCGAGTAATCCTGGTACATTACGCCTTGTAATCTTATTCTAAATCACAAAACCCTTCCTTTCTGTCTCGTCTCTCCTTAATTTAACGGTGCACAAACTTTCTGCTCAACGATGCCGTGAATGCGCCTAAAAATATGGATCCATGTTAGAAAAAAACAGAAGTTAAATAGTTTCTCGGCTCGTGGGCTTTTAATGCTTTAATGAGTGTAATTCTTGCACAACAGTTTCGCGACTGTTTTCCAGCGCAAGCTGTATGTGTGCTTAGATGAGCACCAGTGCTCTGATACGGGCTCACCGCCATTTAACCCCTGCAAATCAATCTTTTGTTCGTATTGGAGAAAAGGCCAGTGGTTCTGGTTTACGGCTTTCGCCTCCCTCTGCGAACCTGTGTAGCATGAAGCGTGGCTAAAAAGACAAAAATATAGAAACTGATATTGAGGGAAGTTGAGGGATGACAGAAAAAAAATCGATTTCTGCAGCAGGCAGGCAGAATGGGTTCAACTGGAGGACACGTTTTTCTGACCGATTAGGTCTGTTGCGAAGGCTCAGACTGACCCTTCTGAAACCCTTGACCCGACGCGGACAGGACAGCGCTACGTGTTACATGGTCAACAAAACCCTAGGGCGAGTTTGTCATAACAGCGCGGCCGGGGCACTGTAACCCGAGGGCACCGTGCTATCTCTTCACTCAGACAGTCTAGTAAACTATCGGGGCCCTTAAAACAACAGCAGCCGTGGCCTTGCAAAGACCCATCCTTAAACATCTCTCCCGTCTTCTGGTTTGAGCAGCTTGTGAAAGGCCCGAATAGTCACCATGCGTGTCAAGACCTGCAGTATGCACACCGCCAGATTACTTTACGATTTCCTTTCTATGTATTTCAGTAGCTGTAACACTGTGAGGGAGGCCAAGAGGGCCTTCCGCTCCAGAAATATGACGGCTATTTTGTGTGACAACGCCTCGCATTGTATCATGTAAGCCCCCTCCTTCTTGCTCTCCTTGTTCTGGTCTCTCCAAATAGATAATCAAGAAGACAAATGGCTTCTTTTGGAAGGCGCAGCCCTTGTATTAATTTTCATTTTCTTTTCTCAGAGCAGGTATTGAAAATATAGAGCCGGAGAAAATAACATTCCGTTTGCTGGCGTTGAACTTTACACAAAAGTATGGCCTTAAATTGGTCTTCTAGCATTCCGTGGCACCGAGAAGATTTTCTATTACTTGCTTGTTGATATCAGACAGACCTTTTCGCCACACAGCCCGCTAAAGCCATTTGTCTGTTTTCTCCCTTTTATTTATGAATGCTGTCTGGACATAACGTCAAACACTTTAAAACGCAAAAAATGTGAGGCAGTAAAATCATATGAAGACTATAGTTGAAAGTTGAAATATTTAAATGTACACAGTTGTGTACGTATTTGTTTTTTGATAATATAGTTGATAATATTTTGTTTTTATTATCTAGGCTAATACTGATTGCAGTGGCATAAATATTTAAGAGTTTTTAACAGGCTAATATATATATATATACCTCTATATATACCTCTGCATACACCCATTTTGTGGTTGAGACCCAAATAGACCCAAATCTTACATCCAACTTAAATGTATTTTTAACATGTGTCTCTCAAAAGGTAGGCTACTCGAGAACTTAAATAGATGCATTTGCCTGTGGCATCTGTATAGACCTTGGAATCCTATTGTTGTTACACATATTTTATTTTGTTAAAAAAAAGTCACACTGATTTGAATAGGAGTGAACAGATTTCTTTTGAGGGCCTCAAAAGTTCACCACCATTATTTGCAGACAGAAGCCTAAAGAAAAATGTGAGAATTATACAGAAAAATCATTAATCACCGCTTCTCTTTAAACAAGTCTTCTCTCCTATTGTCATTCGGCAGCACAACTGCTCGGACCTTCTGCTAGGAGGGGAGTGAAATCTTGAAGGGCACTTGAAGACATCCCCCCTCCCTCCTCTACCATCTTCTATTCACCAAGTCATGCCACAAGAAAACTTTTTTGGCGAGGGATGTCCCATGAAGAATCTCTTGAAAATGTTAGCGCGAGTGAGAATCTTCGCAGGACGAGAGATGGCAGCGTTTAAGGTAGAGTACTTTTCTTTTATTTGCAGCACTTTTAGTGTTTTGAGTTTTATTGCTTTATGGCCTTCTCGCAGTTGGGTAGCAGAGGCACATTTGTCGTGTTGCGCCACGGATGGGTTTTATGGCTGCTTTGACAGTAAGGGTAGCTTTTGGGAACCGGTTGTCGTGTGTTTGTGATAACTTCTAGGTGTGTGCCATCACAACTAAAGTGGTAGCATGTTTTCCTTTTCGTCTTGGAGTAACGCATCTGTACCATTGTTACATGGTGTATTTGTGGGTGTTGGTGCTGAAATAGTATGGAGTGCAAAAAAAAAAGAAAAAAAAGCGAGCGTCTGTTTGTCCATTCGTGTGCGCGTGAACGCGCATGTGTGTCTTATATCAACACTGTGAATATGCATGAGTTGCAATGTGCCACATACACATCTGAGCAATATCTAGATATGCCATATGTAAGTCTCCTAGCTGCCAATTTGACATGCTGCCCTTAATGACTGTTGTTAATGGCACTTTATTTCTTTTACATATAATGTTGTTTGTGTGCGCGTGTGTATGTGTTTCTCCACCCTAAAACGCCTTTTTATTTCATCAGAGAGCTTGGGTGGCACACAGGTGCAAAGTGGCCGGTTTCGAGAATAAATTATTCGATGCTCTGTTGGTCAGACAGGAATGAAAAGCACCGAAGAGAATGTCTCGAGAGCAACTATTTGCCTAAAACAAACGACTTGTAGCAAATTGCTTCAATTGCATGTTGTGTGCTTAGATGAGCACCAATGCTCTGATACGGGCTCACCGCCTTTTAACCCCTGCAAATCAATCTTTTGTGCGTACTGGAGAAAAGGCCAGTGGTTCTGGTTTACGGCTTTC